CACCGTGCCACCCTACAGCACACCGTGCCACTCTACAGCACGCCGTGCCACCCTACAGCACACCGTGCCACTCTACAGCACGCCATGCCACCCTACAGCACACCGTGCCACCCTACAGCATGACGCCCCACCCGAGACCACACCATGCCACCCGAATATACTGTATACATGTATAAATAAAGGCCATTTCCGCTTCCTCCATTAGCTGCCATGCCTGCAATTATAAATTATTTAACTTTTATATAATCACAGAATGCATCACATAGCGTGTCTGGGTCACATGACCACTGGCCGGCATCATCAATAATTTAGCTTGCAGTAAGTCTGCATGGACCAGTGTTTACCAAAGCCGCCTTCATGCGGTAATTAAGGGCTTTCCTATGCTAGCTTCCTATACCAAATCTGCTTCCAGAAATTTCTAGAAGTTTCACGTAACTAAAACATCACTCAGTTTATGAACTGATTCGCCAAATGCTATATTACTAATTATGTCAATTATTGAATAGTAAATTCTTACTATTAACGGCATCCTGTCCATCAGCTAAGCCTGGGTGCAGTTCTCTGCTGAAAAGATGTTAGAGAAAGTGTTGATAGTAGACAAATGTATCTGCCTTGTGGGCAGTTTACAGTTCATTTGGGATTCAGAGCCCATAATCTGATCTCTCCTGCTATTTTGTCCCATTCTAAAGGAACATTTGCAAAACACCAGCACAAATACTACCTGTCTCAGCTGAATTAATTACCCAAGCACACCGCACTCCTTTGAGCAGATGTCTGTATCTCCTCTTCCCTTTCATTCATCACTGAAATATAAACATTTTAATGTTCTCCTCAGTGTCGCTACGTCTGATTTCTTTACACCTAATGTGTACTTTCTTCTTTTAAATAAATTAGAGTGCACATCACTTACAGGAGCGCCTGCCATTTGGAGCAGTAAAGTCCTTCTGAGTGCCAGCATCTGGAAGCACGTGCCGCCCTGATAAGTGTGTTGGAAGCTTTTGTTCCACGCCTGGATAGGCCCTTCTGGCCGAGCTCCTTAAATGGTGTCCCTCGCGGCAAACACTCGCCAGCAATATTTGGCCGCTGCTTTTCCCGGCTCACACAGGGATCACTGCCCAATCTAGAAAATTTACCGCTGTGCCCGGGAAATCTTAAGCAGGCAGGATCGGTTCGGGCCCCCAGAGGAGATCCGATCCCCAGCATCTCACATACATAGCTCTTTAACCTAATGGTACAGCAGGTTATCTTCTGTACCATTTTAGGTAGCATGTTTGGCTCAAGGACACAGCATCGTTATTTTGAGCTGGTCTTTCTTGTTCACGTTTTTGGAATAGCAGCAAACGCCTGTGAAGGCCGCTCCTGCCTGATACAAGGACATCTGTGACAATCCACTGAACTGGACTGGATGCGTCCCTATGTGCCTTTAGCCGTGCGTCACGCTGAATAATTCCTGCGACGCCGCGGGGCGATGTCAGTGTGTTCCGACACAGACGGATCAGTTACTGATAATGGTGAGTAAAAGTGAGTTAGCCGCATGATTAGTGAAAAATACATTAGGTCTCACACTTAATGATGGCCGCTCATCTGTCACAAGGGCACGAGATTTAAACTACTGATTAATTTTTCAAGAAAAGTACCTAAATTAAAGCAGGCCGTAGCACAATGCAAAGAAATGCATACACACGTACACAGGATTGTAATCATATCTTTTTGCTGACTCTTCATTCATTTCTATGGATAACACTCTAAACACAACATGATGACCTTAACCCTTTCCCTAACCTTAAGCATAAGTACATTTTAAGTTTTTTGATTGCAGTCACAGATCTTTGTGGGGACCTGAAAAATGGTCCCCACAATGTCAAAATGACAGGTTTTCATTGCATTGTGGGATACATCTGGTCCCCATCTGTTTTCTATTTTCAGCTATTCAGTATTATTGGCTGAAATAGCAGTAATAGAATCACGCAAAAAATAATAATAAAATGAAATAAGCCCATTCAAGGGGAAAAAGCAATTAAACATAAAAATCCAAAGTGATAATAAATGTGACATCATCGCTTAATTGGCAGGGGACCTGAGATGGGCTACCATGCTGAATTTGTGTATCTATGGAACATCAGAGTCACTTAAGGTTCCTCCACAGCATTGCAGCTGTCAGCAGTGCAGAGAACAATCGCTCTTATTTTCCGTGTTCTTGTCAGTGGTGTCGGACTCAGAGCTCATGTCTCACGATCTCAAATCAGTGATATAAACCCCACTGACATCAACATTCCACTCTCCGTTCTCCTTTTACCTTATTTGGAGAAAGAGGCGCCTCTTTGTTCACCTCCCCCTCACCAAGGAAACAGGCACTGAGAGAAACACACACACATTTGTTTAATACCATCTTGTATTTGAGTTATATATATGTAAATGAATCGGACTGGGACAGATCTCCTGATTTTACACCTAACTTACTAAAATGTATAACTGCAAGAAAAAAACGAATGATGAATGTTTTGCCTTCAATTTGAAGCCCTTTGTAACGTTCCACCCTGCTTAAGCTAAGCCACCCACTACCAACCTATCTAACGAAACATCTACCACAAACACACAGCATCAGCTGAATGCTTTTTCTGGGCTTGATTGCCTCTGTCTTTGGAATGCATTGTGTTGTTGGGGCTCTGATACTGATCCGTCAAATATTCATTAAGGACTGAGAAAAGAGACGGACTCACATCACCCCGGCTGTTGTGTTCAGTCTCCCCTCGATTCCCAGGTTTAAAAAGTCCTCTGTTTACTCGCTGAAGATGTGGTGTCAAAGGTAAGAATCACTTGTTGCACCAGCCACTGCGAATCTAGAGGCACAGTCATGCCTTCAAATCTGGCAGCACTTCTGTGGTTTGTAAGCATTTTTAAGTCATTTAGAGTAGCTAGAAATGCACTAATGGACACTAATTGCACTCGTTCTGAACACGGTGGGTGTCACGGTCCATCCCTGCCTTGTCGGTCACTTCCCCATTTGGCCCGCAGGTGTCACTGGTCATCCTGTTCTTTTCACTGTGTTTCTGTAGGTTTAGCTCCCTGGGCCACTGTGCGGGTGAATGGGCCAAGTGTGTTCCACTATGGCTGGGCCCTCATCTGTGCTGCTCATCTATTTCAGCTATTAGTTTCCCCAGCGTTATGACGTGCTTGTGCTTATACGTATTTCTGTATTGGTTCTTCTGTCTGCCCCCCCCACTCATACCTACTTTTGTTGTTACAACACTTCACCTAGTTCCCGGTATCTCCTAGTGTTTAGTGGATAGTGTTGGCTCGATCGCTAATCATCCACACCTGTTTCTCATTATCAGTGTACACGTGTGCCCCCCCCTGCCCTGTGCTTTTGTCACTCGCCGCGTTTGTTTACTACGTGTCACCCGATTGTGCAGCCGTTGCTTGCACCGCTTCCCTCAGCCTTTCCCGCTGCTTAGTGTAGCATTTTTTTTACTTCTGGTTTTACTGTCCTATTTATCTTTACCCCTCATGGTCCCTTTTTGATTCCTCGTCTGTTAAGTTCAGTTTCACTAATCCTCCTCTGCTACAAGCCTCTCTGTGGGTCGCCCCTGACTTCACCATCTGATATTGGGTCATATGGGCCGAACCAAGGCCTTAACCTGAGCGATAACATGTGCATCTTCATTTACAAAAGATGGCTTCAGGGCTAACCAGTTAAAATAGTTTATTGTTAACCTGAGAAGCACTGGCTGCCTCATTTAGTATGGCTGCCTCATTTAGTTTCCCGCGTTAGACTACCCAAGATCAGCACGTCCTAGGGCAGGATTTCTCAAGCGGTCCTTGGGAACCGCCAGACATTACTCGTTTTTGTTCCCTCCTAGCTCCTTACCCGGAACAAAACATGGGCTGTCTGGGGGTCCCAGAGAACCAGTTTCTAAGAGATGGTCATAAATCTAAAAGCTGCAGTGAGAGATATCACTCTCAGAACACTGCCGGCTCTCTGGAATGCTGTTAGGAAAAATAATACAGAATTAATACATTTTGACAAGGGAGTGGTGTGAAGCATAAGCTGACAACTTCAAGATACTAAAATATGATGGATTTATATATTTTAACATTAAAATGCTTACTAAAAACATAAACTATGAAAACACAGTGGGATGGCATTTATGAAGACATTCCTCAATATGAGTTATGGAACGACACTATTAACATCAGTGTGTTAATTTAAGACGGATTTTCACGCCAGGCTCCCTTGATAATGTGAACAGACACTTTAATTAGCCCCCATGCTGCCTCTCGCTCTTCTGCTGTTTTAAAACGACCCTTTGGATTCACTGGAGAAAAATATACGCTGAATATTAAGGCATCTGGACAAACTCACTCATTCTTACTATTCATAAGGAATAATCGAACCCGAATTAAAAATGTACGCCACTGAATTATTCTTCGGAGACTCTTAACATTGCGATCAGGTTTACACAGGTTTCTTTAATAACCCAGAAAAGTAACTGTTTCGTAAAATACTAATAGTAAAATATTTTAGTCTGATTCAAACAACAAAATAAATGAATGTCACTATTTCACTGCAAAATTAAGGATGGCTGAAATGTGCCTTAGTTGTTCGTTACAAAGCTGTCCCTATGTCACAGCCTTACAGACCAGACCAGATGGTGATATTGTCCTTCAAGATGCATAAACATGAGGTTTAGCAAGAAGATGCAGTGTCACTGAGGGGTAGTTCGTCACTGCAAGGCGGCCGTGCCGTGCACTGTCCCTCCGGGCACCGTGTCACGTTCTGTCACACACAGATAGCCACACTTGCTATACGGTGACACCTTTTCCATCAGGTACAGTCATCTGGCCCCAGTCCCAGTCTGCACACAGGGAAATGAATAAAAATACGTGTTTTTGCCATTATTGATACGGACCACTGGGACTGAGAATGAGATTTTTTTTCGTTCATCTCTGGTACTGAGGAGCTGGTTACTAGACAGGAGAGCTGGCATGAATTCTCTCAACTAGCCTGATGGTTGTATCGTTCATAACGCACCAGGAACAACATGGATATTTTGTTTGGATTTTTACAAATATACAAACATGTCTGATATTATTTTGCTATCATGTCGTCACCCGGGTGCCAGGGAATATTCCACTCTTGTCTGACATCTCGCATTCATGTTACCTTTTGCAGCTTCCTTTGAGCAGTGTCACGGAAGAGTTGAAGGTCTCCCGTCCTAGAGAATCACTGGAGTACAGGGACTCCAAGGACGGCAAACTGTCTCGCAGGCGCTGAGATCCGGACCGGCAGGAAATGGAGTGGGTCAGGGTTAGGGAGCTGCAGATGGCAGAAGCGAGGCTGAGGAACAAGGCTGGGGTTGGGGCAGGTGGCAATGGGAAGATCAGGATTGGGCAGCTTTTCAACGCGTCAACACAACAAGATCCAGGGCGAGGAGACGCGGCGGCTTGTCCAGGAAGGTGAGAGCAGCAATGGACGGGGAAAGAAGCAGAAGGATGGCAGGCATGAGGCAGCAGGGAGGTTGGATGAGAAGGGAGAATACAATGGAACAAAGGCTCCCTTTGATGGACACCTGGCCAGCAGAGCCCCGGCACATTCAGCTTTTGAGAGGAAGCTGGCCAAGTACCAGGGGCTTCTGGACGATTCTCGGAGACAGGGGTGGTGAGCACACTGCCCTCCAGTGGAAGTCGTCTGCAGAAGCGTCGCCGGCCTCTCTGTCTACACCCTGCTGAGCGTGAGTGAGCTGCTCAGAAGGACAGCCATCAGGACTCACCTGGGTGAGGGTGCATGATGTCATGAGACCCGAAACAGCCTATGGACCCAGGAACCATCACTGATGATGCATCGCAGCGCATCGGTAGGATGTGTCTTCCACCTGCAGTATCCTCTCAAATCACTCTAAAATGGTTCTTGCACTAGTTCTCATGTTTAACTTAATGTCTTCTGTTGATCTGTACTCTCTTAATTGTATCGCTTTTTTGTTTACATACTGTTCTGTGAGGTGTTCCCCTGTATGTCTTGTAATTATGTTTGGTCCTGGGCCACAAACAATTCTGGTGTGTTTGCACATACTGGCAATAAAGTGAGTTCTGATTCTGGTTCAGATTCTGATTACAATGTTAGTCGGCTACATTTAGACTGGGCTTTCTGGGGCGGCACTTCCAGGATATTATTGATAAAATTCTCCCTGAATAACCAGCAAAATTAACAGTTTTAGGCAGATAGTGAGTTAGCTAGTGATGCATCACTGTGTTGAAAGTATGTTTGAAATTTTTTTATGTACTTTAATTTGCTGCATATGTTAAATACAATAGAGATTAGCTCTGAACACAAAAACTGACACACGACTTGTTCAAGCCGCTCTGAAGTCCCACAGTTATTTGGGATCGTTCAGATACACGGCAAAGAAGGGCTTTTAGATGAGGGAGAGCTGGCCAGCTCCTGAACCTCTGAGGAGACGACCTAATCCAAATCTTACATCCCCGTTACGGCTAGTCGGTAAGTCATAGGCTGGCTGTGTTCGGTTATGGTTTCACAGATAAGAATTGCGCTTTGGACAAGCTGGGTGTGGATTCAGCGACAGGCATCCGCCTTACAAAAAGAAATAAAGTTCTCTCATTATTCGTGCATTTAAACAATGTAGTAAACTTTGACAAAAAAGACAATGAGAGGGGTGTGTAATTCTGCCTTTTCAGGGAAGTGATGATGTCACTGATGATGTCACTGCTCGGTACCTTGACGTTAGGGAGCGTCCCTGTCTCTTTTTTACATGAAACTTTAGTGGCTGTTTTCCCACTTGGGGTAGCTGTTACCTGTAGCTGATCCCACTGGATCTGTGGAAACGTGGTCCAATGATCACACATGTACAAGCACAGGCTAGTCATGTGCAGTCACACATGAAGAACATGGAAGCTCCACAAGCAAGGCGCTGCGGCGGGACGCAAACCCACAACAGACTGACGATGGAAAACACTGAACTGCTACTATCATGGATCTGACACCACTCTCAAAAAACATTGGATTTCCTGCAGAAAGCTGCAATTTCCAGCTTCTTACACAATGTTCAGCTCATATTATAATTACATACTAGCTCATACATATTATATTGTCATCTTAACTTTCAGGTATTCATTTTTAAAAAGGTAACGTGCTAATGTAGTACTTTTTGCACGTTTAACTCTTGATAGTGCTATTATTATTCAATAAAGACATTTACTGCAATCCTTCATTACTACAAGTCTGAGTTCCTTTCCTAGTCGCTGTTGGAAACGTGAGTAGCCCTTTACCATATACATACTATGGTGGGTGAGTAGCCCTTTACCATATACGTACTATGGTGGGTGAGTAGCCCTTTACCATATACGTACTATGGTGGGTGCAGGAGTCTCTCCTATCTTGTCTACATTCCCTGGGTCTGCACCAGTACATATTGTGGGGTACGAGACGGCACAAGTGCCAAATTATGATCTTCGGCAGGTCATTTTACTGGCCAGCTTTCCCAGGCGCCAGAGCATGCTGGTCATTATGGGAGATGCTTCTCTGCATGATGGAACGTCATGGAACAACCCAGGATGTGCTGTAAGCATTTGGGTTTGCCTAATGCATTATCATCGCTAATGCATACGGCACAAGGTCCTAAAATGAGGGGACAGTGAAAAAAGCCACGTTAACTGTCTCGGCTGGTCGTTCCTTATCTGTCCCAATTTTCCATACATTCTCTCACTTCCTGTTTTGCCATTCCGCCGACCCTCCTGTACGTCTTTCTTTTCAGGCTTCTTTTCATTCTCACTGTGTGTCACTGCCGTTGGTTGGCCATGGCCTACTTCAGCTCCGCTGCTATGCTAACGTGCTAGCACCTCCTGCCCGAGCTCAGGCCCCATCCAGTACACGGTGAGCGATACGAAACGATAAAACGATTGTGTCTGACAGGTATGTGTGTGTGTGTGTGTGTGTGTGTGAACAGATCAGTCGGGGGAGATGTGCTGTTGACAGGCAAATAGATTTTTCTTTCTCTCTGTTCATTTGGCCTTAGTAGTGCCACGTGTCATTTAAAAACTGGCAAAAAAATACGTACTTGAGTCTGTAGCGTGATTTTGTCGCCAGATGAATTGCTAAGGGACTGGCCCACCCTGGCTATGATTTCTGGCTCCGCTATTGGCTACCACCCCTCCCCCAGACACCCCCACTCCTTGGCCAAAAGCGACCTCAGTGCTGGGCTTACCAATCTCCGGTGTTCCATGTACTCATTTAGTCGACAGCACAAGCTCTAAATCAGCTCCAACACCTCATTTCTCTTCTCTTCCTCTGTTGAATAAAAAAACAGAGCTGCCACCATTAATTAGCCCAGTATACAGGCCTTCTTTCTGCTTCTGTAAGACAAACTGACCGGTTGGTTTATAGAGACGCTTATAAATGGTGGCTAGATAATTAATATTAGATTGTTTAAAAATAACACCTGTTATAAATCTCCCGCAGTTCTTCACTTTATCTTCTCTGCCTTCTTTGAGTAAACGTTTGGAGCAGCGCCTTCATTTTCCAAAAATGAAAGGTGCATGCTCGTGTGATTACTTTGGTGAGTCATAAACGTTAAAGGCTCATTTCCGTTGTTGTCTCAGGCTTTTGTCTCCCTCGAAGTGTAGCCTGAGTAAATTGTGGTCCTTAATGACGCCCGGTTGACGCCCGATTGACGCAGAGTGACGGTTCCCTCGTCAAGTCGTAGTCAAAGTATCTTTATTGTCATCTTCAGCTTTACGATCCTTGGGTCACATGCTAAGACGAAATTTTGATCTTGTTGTTTGGAGTGCAAGGAATAGTAATAAACAGAATATAACCACATAACCACTCAAAAGTTTGGACACACCTATACCCATAGAAACATCTATTTGCATTATTATCTACATTTTAGTATAATTATAAAGACCTCAAAGCTATAAAATAACATGTATGGAATTATACAATGTCCCAAAAAAGCATAAATATTTCTTTTTTTTTGGGGGGGGGGGCAGTTCTGTGGGTTGGGACTCAGAAGGTTGTTAGTTCAATACCCAGAGTGATCCCACCACTGGACCCTTGAGTAAGGCCCTTAACTGCTCCAGGGACTGGCTGACCCTTCGGCCCCCTCTACTGTCTCCTCTACACCAGTTCCATGAGGTGGCCTCCTGGGATGCTTCTCCAGCTGTCCTGAAGGAGCTCCCACATATATGCTGAGCTCTCATTGGCCGCTTTTCCTTCACTCTCTGGTCAAAAACCATCTCTACTGAGTTTTGGTCAGGTGGCCAGGTCATGTGATGCGACACTATCACTCTGCTTTGCAGGCGGCTTGCTGTGTCCAAACTTTTGACTGCGGCTATATACAAAAACGTTTAGACATATTGAGTCGTGGACATAAGACAGACAAATATGGTTAAAATTGTGGACAGTAGATGCTGGCAGAGGCTTTTTGAAGATGAAGATGTCACTGACATCCACCACTATGTCAGCACAGAGTCACTGCTCGCTGGAGGCCTGTCCCAGTTTGCTGTGGTCCTCTCGGACGTTACATTCACGGGTGAACGCATTAAGCTGTTGCGCTGAGCTCGTCCGGCTGTCTTTGACTAATCCCGGCTGAATAAATCATAACGGACGTTACGGACTGCTGCTCAGTTGGACAAGCGAGACCACAGAGATGTTTATTTGCCCGTGTGACTGAAATGCAATACCGGTTAACCAAGACGGGCTAGGTTGACCGAACACAGAGAAGGGCATCCCAACACTACAGGGGAAATCCGCAAGCTTTTCACGCTAAGTACTTACAACGTCAAAACCGTGACACAAATCCCATATCCCCTAACCGCTGTCTCCGATTAAATATAAACAAATACATTATCCATCCGTCTCCCATAAGCAGCGGCATACCTTATCTGAAGGCTGTGCCAGAAATCAACCCAAAAAAGGCTCGCTCTGGATTTCTAAAAAGATTTTTACTTTTTCACTCTTTAGTCTGTTCTTCCGAGGTGAGAAATTTAATTTGCGGTTTTATTAGCCATGAAAAAGGCTTGTTTTTTGTAGTAAATATGGATTTCTTTGTAAATGTGAATATTGCTGTTGTATTTTTTCAGTGCCATTATTCTCTTCAATTAGGGCAGCTAATGGATACGGCCAGAAAGGAGTAATATTTTAATGTGACGCTTTTTGACAGACCATGCATTAAAAATGCACTGAATGATGCTTTTAACGTCAGCAACAGTGAAAATTTATTTTCCTTTTATATTTCATAACGTTATACCTTTTTGCTAGCCTAATCAGTATTATAGCAGAGTTTCTATGATAACATCAATTTTCTAAATAAAAAATGTACTCAGAGACAGTGCATGCTACAATTTATAATGCATTTGACTTAATTCTCCAAAGGAATATTTAATATGTAAAAGAGGCTTAGAGCAAAATGAAATGCAGACAATCCTCTTATGACAGGAAAGGGGACAGGACCATTGTATCGGATCTTTTCAGTATAAGGGTACACTATGGGCGCGCGCAAGCAACCGGTCACCGGGGACAGCAGCCTGCCGATTGCACGCGACGTGCAGAAGAAAATAGCTGTTAAAATCAAGCATACCCACAAGAGGGCGGTGTGTGTATTTGTATATGTACGGAACCAATATTTGCAAAAATTACACGATACACGAATCAAAGTAATTACTCGGTAAGACGTGTTTTATATGCTCTGTGTTTCTATAATCAGTAAGAAATGACTAGGATACTAACCCTAAACTGAGATTGTATGAAAGCGGTCATTACAGTTTATGTATATAGTATGATAAAAAAAATTGAGTGAAAAAAACGTTGTATGATTACTTGATGATTACACAATGACGTCATATGGTCATTCAGGGAATCCTTTTTATTAAAACATAATTCACATAACACTGTTACTTTATATTTGGCATTCTGTGACACAGGAGATGGATGAGACTTTCCAATAGTCTCTTAAAAAGGCAACAAAGTACCTTTAAAAATCCCAGCAGTGCCGGTCTAGCCTAAGGCTTCTAGCCTAATACCCAGATTTTTTATATAGAAATGTAGTTCCGTATTATTCCTGGTATCCAGATCTTAGCTACCAACAAAACCTCATTCTTGAACCTCAAATCCCCTTCTCACTGTCAGCCTTGAGATTAATCTGAATGTTCTAAGACCCCTTTTTCTGAAGGGCTATAAGGGCTATGAATGTTTGCACATTTCTATTTCAGACCTCCAGGGCTGCCAAAAGCACCTCACTGAATAAGGACACAGACACTGAACTCTAACTGTAAACTCAGGCAAACCTGCAGTGTTTTGACCACTGTGTGTGGTACGGGTGTCCAACAGGGGGGTACCTACAAATCCAGGCCCCCCTGGCAAAATGCCCCCTAGGGTCTTCCTGCCTAATTTTGCATATCATTTTATGTGTTCAAGGGCCCCCGTAAAGTGCAGGCCCCCCTGAATCTGCCAGGGTCTTCATAACCCTCCAATACCCTCGGTTGTACATAATTGATTAATGATGAATGAACATGGGATCAGTACTTAACAAACACAGTTACTGGTTAATCAATGTATTAAGTAAGCATGTACTACTACATTATTCCTGTCCCCTCAAGTAAAGTGTTAATTTGTATATGTACAGAACCAACTATGTTTCTACTACATTCGAGCATCTTTACCCATTGGCATCCCAAAAAAAGTGATCCTTGCCTCGTACCCTCTCCTTCCTGCAATAGACTGTAAGCTCACTGCAACCATGCACTGTATTAGTAGTATGGACGATGGGCCGATGGACATTTCTTTAACCCAAACTGAAGGTAGAATCCAGTGCTTCCACCTTACAATCTGACTCTCTCTTCTCATCTTCTCAGTTCAGCAGGTCAAGTTCAACAGGCAAGGTACCTGTGTGTGAGAGGTTTTGATGTCACTCGTGACGCAACATTTAACGTTACTAAAAAAAGTCAAGGTGCCTCACTGCATGAAGGCATTCATTAAATTCCTCTGCTGCTATTGTTCCAGGTACTAAAGCATCTCATTTCCTATTCTGCATCATCGTTCCCCTTTGTCTAATTAACTGAGTACTTCCTTCAGCACGACAACTGCTAATTGAGTTTGAAGACACCACTGAGCCTGTAGTGCATAGCATGCATAATTTATCACTGGCTTATTGCACTCTTGACTGACACGAACCCGGGGATAATGAGACGATCACAGAATTTATGGCCTCTGTCAAAAATCATTGGCAGACGTTTTAGTGTGACATAAGACCCTGGGGTAAACATGTAGTAGCTGCTCGTAATTCATCACAAGAACAGAAAGAGGAAATAAGAGACAGGTTAGATGATAAGAAAGTGCGTCAGACTCCAGAAGAAAATTGCAAGTGCTTTTATGCAACTTGCTGATTGATCACAAAAATTACTCAGAATCTGTACTGCAGTGTCCACAAGGTGTGTTGAACAAGAACACCTGTCCAGGGGTTTAGGGTTACCTTAAACTTCTAAGGAGAACATATACTGCAATATAAACAGCACCTGGTACAAAATGATACTTTGTTGATTCATTTTTCATCTCACTGCTTTCTCCAGAACCGCCACAAACTTAAAAATCTATATTCTCCAGTTTTTTCCCCCACACTCCACATTAAAAATAAAAGTTGGCTTCAAAATAAAAGTCTGGAAACTCCTGTTAAACTCTTGCCTTTTTACCTGCGGATTTTCAAGGTGACGTAAAAACATGTTTTTCTATTTGTTTTACTGGAAGAATTCAAGGTTGATCTTGAACTCTAACACTGCAACTGCATTTTAGGTAGCAAAAGCAACGTTAATCTCCAGAAGGCCACCGACCCTACGCTCAGCGGTGACACAAGGGTTACAAATAACGAGAACAACTCCATCCAAGGTTAACATGATTTGTCAAGTATGTTTGCTATCTGAACCAAAGCAATTGAGGAAAGTGTTGCAAATGGCTTTGAGGAGGGTCATGAGATGGTCATCAGATCAGGGGCCGAAGGGTTAATGGACTTTCAGGGAGAACATTTATCCTCCACTTGACCTCTCAGGCCTCAACCTTCAGCCCAAAAAGCTGTGGAGTAAAAGCCAGCTACACAATGGAAAGTGTGAAGCTTTGTGTTAGTAAACCTGCCTTGATTCGTCATTATCCTCTCGACAGAAGGCTTTCTGAGATTCCAGCAAAGATCACTTTGTCTAATGTCCCTAACAAACACCTCTAATGTCTGTAAGTCATAACAGTTCTCCCAGCGTACGTTATTACGTAACCCTAACAGGAGGCCCAGGGTTTGATTCCGCGACGTTTGAGGTTTTGTTTTCTTTACTTTCCAGTCTGGGAAAGACGCTCAGAGAAAATCCAACATGGCCTGGGTCTCTCATGTGTCCCAAGGCGTTTAAGGCGCGGGTTAGGGTGAGGGTGACGAGGATGATGCCATTGAGGAAGATGAGTAATAGGGCTGGGGGCTCGGGGGTCACGGCATGCAGCACTGACCTCGGTTCCTGGGGGAGTCAGTGCCGTAGCAGCTGCATTTTGAACATATTCAGTCCCGTCTCAGTAAACAGCTAGAAAACAATGAAAGGCTCCATGTATATAACTGTAAGTGCTGACATGAAGCCCGACACTCTCTGTGTGCAGCTTCACGTTTGTTTGCTCCTACAGGCCAAAAATTTCAGGGCACTTGGGAAAATAACAGGTCTGGCATCCCGTCCAGGGTGTACCCCAGCCCCGTGCCCTGTGATGGACTGGCATCCCATCCAGGGTGTACCCCAGCCTGTGCCCTGTGATGGACTGGCATCCCGTCCAGGGTGTACCCCAGCCCCGTGCCCTGTGATGGACTGGCATCCCGTCCAGGGTGTACCCCAGCCCTGTGCCCTGTGATGGACTGGCATCCCGTCCAGGGTGTACCCCGGCCTGTGCCCTGTGATGGACTGGCATCCCATCCAGGGTGTACCCCAGCCCCGTGCCCTGTGACGGACTGGCATCCCGTCCAGGGTGTACCCCAGCCCCGTGCCCTGTGATGGACTGGCATCTAATCCAGGGTGTACCCCAGCCCCGTGCCCTGTGATG